GACCCCCCCCCCCCCCCCCCCAGTGTATAGGGCAGAGGGTGGGTATGTGGGGCGGGGGTGGGAGAGTGGGACAGGGGTGCCTCAAGCAGCCCCATGCAGGCTGGAATTCTGTTAGACTGCAAGGGCAAAGCCACTGTTTCCCATGTTTTTTCTCCTTTAAAGGAGAATCCAAGTTTGTTCACAACCCTTTCATATATTTTTGCAACCCATTTTTGGGTCTTGACCCACGGGTTGAGAAACACTGCCCTTGAGGGGTTCGTGAAAGACAGGAAAACTAGTAGGGCTCGGATGTCAAGAGTACTCGGCCAGTGAAAACTGACAGATTGAGAAGGAAAGGTTTTACATCTTTTGAATGGTTTCATTTACCTGTTGAGCAAGTGCCACATCTTCCCCTTTTGAGCTCACAGTTGCTGCCTTTTTCTGTTTGCATGTTTTCACCATGCTTCCTCAGGAGTGAGCACTTCTTCTCATGTCTGATTAAGTTTAATGTGCAAGTAGATTTGCCATATTTGTTGGCTATATAATTTGAGTTGGAGAGAGAGGGTTATATCAGGGGTGCATCGGGAGCTTGGTGAACAACTGTTCACTAGGGCACCCCTGGGGAAGACCAGGACCAATGGATACAAACTCCTGGAAGGCAGCTTCAGGTTTAATACCAGGAAAAACTTCACAGTCGAGGTGTCCAGGCTGTGGAATAAATCCCTTCTAGAGATGGTGCATTCACCTATCCTGAAGGTTTTCAAGAGGAGACTAGACAGTCACCTCGCTGGGGTCACCTAACCCCAGCTCTCTTCCTGCCTAAAGCAGGGGGAGGGGGGGCCCAAGGGGGCTGGACCTGATGATCTGCAAGGTCCCTTCTAGCCCCTAACAATCTCTGAATATTCTCCTTTGCCCTACAACTAGATTAAACATTGCATCAGTGTGATGTATAAACTTAAACTAGGAGGAGTGGAAAACTAGTGTTTTTTTTTCTCGGAATAGTAGCAACAGAATCTGAAATAAAGCTCAGGTGGTAACATGCACCTTCTAAGTTCTAGTTCTGTTCAGTATTCTAATGTTTCCCTTTTTGCAGTATTTCTTTTTCTCAACGAAGGTGTATTTCTCTTGTTTTGTTTTTTTATTTCAGATTTTACTTGGTACTAATTATATTTTAAAATATACATACCACTTAATTTATGCAGATACTGATGTGTGAAAAAATCCATGTCAATACTTGCGTACTTTGTTTGCAATTAAGTCTCACTTGTCTTTAAAAATGAGCAAAAAAAAAGCATCACATTCAGCAGAAACTTGAGAAAAATATAAAGGAACCTTTAGGAAACCATTGGTTGAAAACTATCTGAAAACTCTGTCTCCTAAAACTCCTTGTTGCACACGCTATAATTTGTGCAACAGTTTTTTTCCATTGTCAGTGGAGCAGTCCACTTTTCTCAGGAAATCATATTTTCATTTAAGTTTTTTTTTGCAGTTAGTAACATGGCTGGAGACATCCTTATAAATGCTAGTAAAAAGAGTCTTGGAACAGAGGTCAGACAAATAGTTCAGATATTATTTTGTGTTATTCCTTGTAGGAGTGGTTCTTCATCTTTTTTTAGGCTCAAGGCTCCCCTCCTTGGATTTCAGGCAACCAATCAAAAATGCCAGCTTTTAGTTTTCACTTGTCTTTTGACTATAGAAGAATAATAATAGAACAATTTTCCTTTTGCATGCAACTCAGAAAGATCACAGCGGGTCAGAATGTTTTTAACAGTACGAATCCGTATTTGAAATCTCTGGGTGGATCCAGACGTATGTGGATGTTTGGTTCCGTGGGGACAAGTAGCGGCAGCACACCTTGTGCCGCCGCTACTTGTCCCCAGAGAACGCCCGTGCCACATGCGCTTTGGTGCACAGCAAGTTGCCCCGGGTGAGGTAGGGGAGGCTGGGGCTAGCACTGCTGGTGCCAGCAGCCTTACCTGGGGTCTTGGGGTCACCCGGCACTGCAGCCATGGCCATTCTGCTGTGCAGAGCCTGGCTGGCAGCAGAGTGCAGCTCTGGGTGGCCCAGCTCCGTTTTTCAGCAGTGTGTGCTGGTCAAGTGTGCATCGCTCTGTTTTTTTCCTGTGTTTTTTTGTTTGTTTGTTTTCATTTTTTGTTTTGCTTTGTTTTTGACCCCTGGATATCCAGGGGTCAAAAAAACCCATGAAAAAAACCCCACTACAGTGCATATTCAGGCCGCATGCCCTGCAGTGCAAGAACATTGGACTGTGGTATGTAGCCACGCATACTGCACAGCCACGCTCATCTGGACATGCCCTCTCAGATAATCTTGTGTTATGTTTGCACACCTAACAGTGCTAACATTGTATAACACCCTTTGGCACCCTTTAAAGGATTTCAAGGTACCCAAGGGTGCCACAGCATCCTGGTTGAGGATCATTGCCTTACCAATTTGATAACTGTATTAGAAAGGGTCTCGTCCCAACAATCTGCCACTGGCAAAAAGAAAATACTCTTTTGTACATCAGTGCTTTTTAATTTACTGTCTAAAATCTGCAAATGTTTTGTTAGAATGCACTTTTGAGGTATGTAAATATTCTTATTTTACAGATGCAAGAAGCTGGGCAATGAAAATATATGGGTCTTGTCTAGAATCCCCAAATGGAAATTGATGGCAGAGCTAGAAATATAAAAGCTAGAACTGGTCACTCCTGTCCCACAGGTTATACTAGTAAACTATGCTCTTTTTACTAGCTGTTCATGGGCTAGTCTCCTGGTGTGTATATTCTGAGTTTAAGTTGCTTTATTACCACAGAAGAAAATGATCGCTTGCACTCATTTGATCATTATCCTAGTTATACATAATTTAAGTTCCTTTGCTGGTAGTTCAAATAGTTATGGTCTTTTAAGTAGGTAAATTTAGAATATGTCTGCAGGAGGTGAATTACAATTTGTTTAGGACACTGTAGTTATAGTTATGGAAAGAAAATCATTCTACTCTGAAGAAAGTAGCATTCCTGTCAGTAATGGCAGGAGCTTTTTCCGAAGAAGTTGGACCCATCAATCCTTTAATAAGGTCTCTGACACAGTGTGGCTAATGCATTTGAGCATGTTTTATTGTGGAATAAAGACCCATGTCTCCTGAGGGCTTCAGTTTTATAGATCCTATTTCAGGTTTTATTATCTACAGTTTGCAAGAGATGTGATAGCAAGCTCACAGCTCTTAGTACAATAAGACCTGGATCTGGATTAAGGCTCCAGGGCACTTTTGGAATACGAGTCAGCAATAGGAAAAGTACAAGTAAAACTGGAAATGGGATGATTCTGAGCACTAACATGAGAATCAGGTGTTTCTAGGTACAAAATGTGTGATGTTATAAAAGGAACTTCAGTCACTTGTTGACATATTACAAATTCAATTGTCTGAATACCTTGTCAAATCAAACAAACGTTCTAATTAAAAATTACTTGGTTATCTTGATATTTGTGATGTTGATTCTCTGATTTATTCCCCCCCACCTGTAAAAGTAATGCAGATTGACACCAAGTTTCTATGACAAAACATATGTAGGAAAAAACCCTTCAGTCTTTTCTTTTACACAATGAAGAACCAA